ATCTTTCATAATTTTGTTACATGTTCCATTTTCGGTTTCCACAAAGTGTACCCTCATATAGAAATTATACGGCTGTAGTGTCTGCTTTCCAATTTTTCTTCTTAAGAGTTATGATTCCGTACAGAGTAAACATTGTTTTAGTTTATGCCAAGACATTGTAAAGTCAATGGTTTGAAACTGGTCACTCCCTCAGCGGACGATCCGGATGTGACCAATGTAGCCTTGGACCAGGATCTTGTTGTCGGCTTCCAATGTCATTTGATGATTCGCATGATGGATTTTGGACCTAGCCAGAAACTGACCATTTCCTCAGGGTTAACCATAATATGGCCGGATGTGGCCAATCTGGTTCTGGACAATCGATTTGGCTGTTATTGATCTTGTTTTTGAGTTCTGATGTAATTTGATATGTCACATGATGGGTTTTGGTCCTAGTCAGAAACTGGCTACTTCCTGGAATATGGCCGCATGTGACCAACGTGGTCCTGGACAATCGATTTGGCTGTCATGGATCTTGTTTTCAAGTTCCGATGTAATTTGATGTGTCGCACGGTGGGTTTTAATCCCAGCCATGCACTGGCTACTTCCCCAAGGCACAGTGGCCCAAACGGTGAAAAGCGTGATCGCTTTGAATTTCTCCAAAACCTTTAATTTTAGGTATATAGTGTCGTGGGAGAAGTTTCTAGACATGCAAAGCCCTATCTTTTGACGGTTTCCGTTGGTTGATTAATCCCCCTAAAAGTGAGACTCAAAATTAAGTTATTTGAAAAGTGGAGCGGGTTGGTGTTTTCGACTATGTTGCAGTAAATGACAATACAAAAAACTTAACTCAAGGCATCAATCATCGATCTATTCACACAATAACGCTATTGATCATTTTTTCCTGATGATCCCTAACATTCTGTTTTTCAACTATAACTTTTCAGTGTTTACTCGGCTGTCGACAGAAGCAGGCCACTCTCGATGTGTGCCACGCGATCGTCTGTTTTTTCGGCAGCAATCATTGTTCTTCATCAGCAGTTCTTTCGGACTTTGGAACGCACCGTTTCTTAATGGTTTGCGTCCATTGCTGCAATGGAAGCGCTCTGACCCACGTTGGCAATACTGCCATACAATGAAACCACTGGAAGCGGCTCCCGTTGGAGAAGGCTTTTTGGATAGCGGAAAATAAAGTGTTTATTGTTTTATATCTTTTGTTTGTATAGTGACCAAGAATCCTCGGCTCTGTTAAGTTCACTAGATTGAGCCTTATCAAATAAATTAATAAACATCAACTATAACTATTCCATGTACAATTTTTACGTGTTTGTCATGTTCTAATGAGTAACCGTTTGGACCTGTGCAGGGGTACCCGGAACCTGAATGAATGCAACCAACGTGGTCCTGGCCACTCGGCTTGGCTTTCTTTAATCTTATTTTTGAAATCTTATGTAATTCTGATATGTCATTTAGCGTTTCATTGGCTCAAACTTTGATTAGAATTTTCCAACATTAACATTAAAATTTTCAACTAGTAGGTAAAATTCATGAACAAGAACCACCACAGGGGTAACTTTTGACAAAGCTGTAAATCGCAAAGGAAGTTGAGAGTGGAACCAACTGAGCTGTCAAATAATGAAACCAATCGAACATATCACGATCAACAACTGAAAAGAGCCCAACAGTTTCTGCGAACAAAACTTGGGAAACCCTTTTCTCGCGATGCAAGGCTCACCTACGCAAACCAGCACCATCATCGGATTGGGAACAATGATGCATCATTTTGGTTGGCGAGGAAAGAACTAAAAATGTTTTGTTTATAAAAGTTGATAGTACCTTTTCAATTGTTGGAATACAATATATTGAACTGGGTTCCGCATTTTGATAGCTCGAAATTCCATCCTCCAGACTATACATATAGCTACTATACGCTGATGTAGTGTGCCTGCGATGACATTGCAGAAAACAACGAGGAAGAAGAGGCCAGATCACCAAATCATTTAACCTAACTCTTTAAAAAAAAAGGCGCCTTTGTTTACGTCTTATTTTTTTGACGTACACGCAGAGAAATGGTTTTTAAGTTCAAATGGATATATTTTTGACTCAGGGCCTAATATATTTTTGATATTGTTTCAAATATATTATTCGGTTAATTCAAAGAAAAATATTTTTGAATCAACAAACCGGTTGTAGAGTCAATAATCTGTTTCTTGATTCTAAAAACCATTTTGTTGATTCAAAAACATGTTTTGTTGAAATAGTGATACAATATGTTTGAATCAATAACAAAATACATTAGGCCCTGAAACAAAAATCCATTTTTCTGCGTGTAGGATTAAAACTTTCGGCAACATATTGAGGATACAGTTTCAAAAAACCAAAATCAACCGTGTTACGAAAAGGGGTCAGATTTTAACCACCTATAACTCTGTCAATAGCGGATGGATTTTAGTTCTAAACAAGCCAATTGATTGGAAATTGAACACTCTGTCAATTTTCAAAAGGCCTCAATTGAAAATTGCACGAATGCCCAATGGTGATGTTGCAATGGTGATCAAAATTATCACCGATTGCTTGCAAACAGCGCTCTCCCTAACACAGATTTAAAAATCGAATGCCGTCCGGTCTCACTGAACGGTGCGATGTGGTGGTGTCCGGTTGGTCGTCATCAGCAGCAGCGTTTTCGGCGCGTGACGTTGAACATTGTTCTCCAATACACAACGGAAGGCTGGCCGCAAGCAGCGAGCTGCAGCCCACATGAACGTCCATTGACCGAAGAAGGACGAAGAAGCCACACCGCTACTGGTCGGATTCAGTTGCTCGTCGTGAGCCGCTGTGGGCCATCGATGCCAAGCGCGTCACCCTCGTTCCAAACAACATACAGCTCGCCAGCTTTATATATGTTGAACACCCTAATAGTTCACCATTACTCAACCATCACGACAAACGGTCCTTTTCAGGACCAACATAAATTGGTTAAAGAGTATTTTCTGGACATTTGTCAAGGTCATAAATCGGGTGTCAGTTCCCAATAAGTTTAAATCTAACATTTTAAGGCAACATTGGGGGTGCATTTTCAAAAACCAAAGTCGGTCGCGGCATGAAAGTGGTCTGATTTTGATCCAAAGATGATGGATTTTAAATCTTAGTACGCCAATCGGTAGGACATTTTACTACGAATCCGTTAAAATTAAGACGACTGTGTAACTGTTGCTATGATAGTTAAAATTATCACCGATTGCCTGCGAAAAGCGCTTTCCCAAACACAGATTTCAAAATCGAATTCCATCTGGTTTCGCCCAACGTTGTTTATTGTTATTCAATCACCGTGTGTGGTGAGTGGTGGTGTCCGGTTGTCATCGGCAACTAACTATCTCAAAGCTGCCCTCAAGAGCTCTCGATTCACCGAAGAAGGAGGAAGAAGCCGCACCGCTACTGATCGGATTCAGTTGCTCGTTGTAAGCTGCTGTGGTTCATCTATGCCAAGCGCATCACCCTCGTTCCAAACAAAAAAAATGCTCGCCAGCCTCATTTGGGTTTAGCACCCTAATAGCTGAGCATTACTCAACTATCACGACAAAATGGTTCTTTTCAGGACCACCATAAATTATTGTTGTTTAAGAGTTAATTTTTATCGAATGTTCGCTCGCCTTGCTGCCAGCCACATCACCCCCAAAGCTGTTTGATAATGTACCCAGCAATCAAACGTTTGTGGTCAAATGAGTAACAGTATTGAAGTGGAACATAACAATTCTCACAATGACCAAATACCACATAACATTGTCAATTAATCAGAAACACTTCGAATTAAGGTAGGGTTTCCTAGGACGCTAGAAAAAGCAAAATAATCTAGAATTTATATGATTGTTCGCAAATTATCTCGTGATTGGAAAATTTTAGCAAGAAATTCGTCCATTCATCATCTATTGAATAAACCAAAAATTCCGTGCGTTTTGTGCACGAAAATACGTAATTTTGTCATCGGAAAACGAGGCGTTTCCGTTATGGCAAAAAGTGGTTTCTCTAACACAGTCGCCGAATATTTATACCGAGCACGTAATCCTACGTCAAATATACGGTCGTGGATACAACCTCTTATTTCAATTCATCTTTGATCTGATCGAGGGATCCACCACTGGGCAGATCTTTCAAGACAATTTTGAACCTCTTATTTCAATTCATCTTTGATCTGATCGAGGGATCCACCACAGACCTTTCAAGACTATTTTGAACAGACGTTCGCAGTAAGATACTTGAGAATACGTTTGAATACAAGGTTTCAGCCAATACACGGGATACACCCCGACGGCTAATTTGAGGTGAAAACCTGAATTTTTACGAATTGCGATGAGCATAGAAATCGGAAGTGGGGACCTTTCCTTTCGTCGTATTATGCCGGGAATGTTTAGTGAAATTTTACCTGAATGATGGATCACCATCATCATCATCCGTGAGCATGTTAAATTGATTGCTCAAATAAATTTTATCATAAGGGGGATCAAGAGATTGCCCTTTTCTTTCGCGTTTAGGTGTCATGGCGGCTGTTGAAACTGATTTCTTTTAGCGTCCCGTAAAACTCGAAGTTTGTTGGGAACAGCTTTAGCTGTAATTTAAATTTTATTTTTTGTAATATTATCACTTTAACAATATTAATTACCTACAATTTTTCAGTATTTCTTCCGACTAACTTCCTTTAGTGACTACAAATGTTAGGTTAGGTGTTCTGCTATAAGGAACAAATTTTTCATTGTAATTAATTTTAACTTCATCATTTACTTTATTATTTACTTACAGTTTATCGAACTGAACACTAATTTACTATTTTTTACCTTTTAAATATAAACTAGTTTTAATTAAATTAACTGCCTGCATAAAACATGGCTTGCACTTGACGAACTTTTTATTGTCAATGTTTACATTTCGTTTCTTTCGCCTTATCTTCCGTGTCAAACCGCGATGACATTTCTTCGTTCCAGCGGGTTCGGCAATGCTCATCGATGCGCGTAGCTACCCTGTGGTAACTAGCGATCGTTACGCGCCGAGGGGTACTCGTCGTCACATTCCCCCGCCCGTAAACCATTATGTTTGGCTTCCGGTTTACCACCATCTACAACGTCGAGTAACGCCAGCTTTACCACTGGTCTCCGTAATGTTCCGTTCGCCGTCCGCACCCACACTTGCCGAACCCGTCCATCCTTTCCTTGAATGACCTTATCCACCTTCCCTCTGATCCACTGATTTCGTACCGTATCGTCCACGATCAGCTCCAGATCTCCTTCCGCTATCTCCTTCACTTCCTCGAACCACTTCGACCTTCTCGAAATCACCGGCAAGTACTCCTTGATCCAACGTTTCCATATTGCGTCCGTCAAGTGCTGGGCAAGCTTCCATCCACTGTTCAAAGTTGCACGATAATCCACGGGCATCGTTGGACGTTGTTTCACTCCACTTGAGCTCCCCAAGAGAAAATGGTTAGGGGTCAAGGCTTCCTGATCGGCTGACTCTAACGGAATGTACGTGAGCGGTCTCGTGTTGATCATCGCCTCAGCTTCAATCATCACCGTTTCCAGAACCTCGTCATCCGGCCGTCGTTGCGCTTCCAAAATGGTTCCGATTGCTGCCTTTACCGAGCGAACCATTCGCTCCCACACACCACCCATATGTGGTGCAGATGGCGGATTGAACGACCAACGAGTCGCAGAGTTGGTGAAGGTTGTAGCCAGATGATTGTTGCGTTCCTCCATCTCCCGTTTCAGCTGATTGTTCGCCCCGTGAAAATTTGTCCCGTTGTCGCTAAATATCTCAGCCGGTGCACCTCGTCGTGATATGAATCTTCTTACAGCCATGACGCAGGATTCCTTCGATAGACTGTGAACAACCTCCAGGTGAACAGCGCGGATAGTCAAGCAGGTGAACAGGGCTATCCACCGTTGCTGCGACCAACCTTCGCCAGTACTGGGCCAAAATAATGTACGCCTACGTATGTGAACGGCCGTACATACGGAGTTAGCTGGACCTTCGGCAGCGCGCCATCGGCGGCGAGCGTGGATAAGCGCGAAGAACTCTACACCAGATACAGCTTTCCGAGACTTTCGTAACCAGTGATCTCAGTTTTGCAATCTCGTAGAGCTGCCTTATCTCGTTGACAACTGTTTCACTATTGCAGTGACGGAAACGGTGATGGAATGAGTCGACGAGGAGAAATGTGATTGGATGCTTGCTGGGCAGAATTACCGGGTACTTGGTTCCGTACGGTATCCATTCAGCATTCCTCAATCGGTTACGTTTGCGTATCACTCCATTCTTGTCCATGAACGGCCATAGCTTGTATATTGTACTAGACTTCGGCAGTATTCCATGTCGAGCTTCCGGTTCTCCCATCGTCGTTTTAAGAATTTCTATTTCCAATGCGAAGATGTCCATCTGCGCTAGTTTCCACAACGAATTTTCAGCACGTGTCAATTCGTCCTGTGTTAGAACTCCTTGAACCAGTACTTCTCTCCGCTGCGACCGCTGAATATTATTGATGAATCGATGCACGAACGCCATAGTTCTGTGTAGCTTCGTCCACTTACTGAACCTATTTGTATTCATCAGCGACTCCGGTACATAACGATGCACGTTGCAAGCAATTAGCTCTTCTTCAGTGGGATTTATCGGTTCATCACTGCCTGGCCAAGATTCTTCCGGTTGCCTTAGAAAATCTGGCCCACGAAACCACCGGCTGTCAGAGCTGATATTTGGACCGGAACCCCATTTCGTTGCATCATCCGATACGTTCAATACCGATCCAATCTTCCTCCATTCGCTGACATCTGTCTTGGATAATATCTCCCCGATCCGGAACCCCACGTACTGGTGATAGCGGCGTTGGTCTGACCTAATCCATGCGAGAACGGTGCTGGAATCTGACCATAGTACACGCTTCGTTACAGGGAGAGCGTGCATGTCTACGATGCTGTTGAGAAGGCGTGATCCTAGAACAGCTGCTTGAAGTTCGAGTCGTGGAACCGTCAGCATCTTCAACGGAGCTGCTTTTGATCTCGCTGCTACAAGACTAACCTCAGTACCCTGTGTAGTTTCGACCCGGAAATACGCAGCACATGCATATGCCGATATGCTTACGTCTACGAATACGTGGACTTGCAAAGATGAATACGTTTTCTCAACAGCGTCTGGAAAATAGCATCTCGGGATTCGCAGAGTGTCCAGGTTTGGAACGAGATTGATCCAGTCCCTCCACTGCAATCTCAGCTTCTCGTTGATTTGATCATCCCAACCAATACCTGCCGCCCATACATCCTGCATCAGTATTCTTCCGTGGATCAGGAAAAACGCAATTAATCCCATTGGATCGAAGAAGCTCATTACTGTGCGTAAGACTTCTCGTTTCGTTGGGATATAAGACTCACCCAGAACATGCTTCAGGTTGTCTCGCAAGGAAACCGTATAGGTAAAGGTGTCACTGCTCGGTATCCACTTCATGCCTAATACTGACTCGATTCGTTCATCTTTTTCCGCTCGGATATCCTTCTCCGCTGTCGTTGATTCATCTCCCACTTGCGCTGCAATCGCTGAATCATTGGATAAGAAGTTACGGCTCTCAAACCCTCCTTTGGCGTGAATTTTCTTGACCTCGCTGCCAATCTTCATTGCTTCCTCCACAGTTCCGAAACTATCCAGGTAATCATCCACGTAATGGCGATGGATAATGGCCGCTGATGCTCGTGGAAAATCCGCTTCGAACTCTTTTGCGTTCAAATTTTTGATGTACTGAGCGCAGCTCGGCGAGCACGAAGCCCCGAAGATAGCTACGTCCATGACGTAGATCACCGGATCTTGACGGCCCGAGAGCACGATGCGGACTAGACTGCCAGCCTTTCGTTCTAGACGTGCATATTTTTCATTTTCGCTCCATGCTGATAACAAAACTCTAGTTCATTTTGGAGCTTCGAAAATGTAGAGCCCGGCTTATCACATATTTGTGAGCGTGTCTTACTTAAGCAGCCTTTTTGCAGTCAATAAAAATGGTTGACAGTTAGGGGGTGACACCCAAACCATCCGCCCGGGGTGTTGCTGAGTCACGCTATGCGAGGCCCGCATCACAGCACGTGACCTGAATGGTCCCCAATCTGATAAATGTTGTTGCCACATTTTGTCTGGACTTTAGGCCAACAATAGAACACCGCAATATGATTGCTCTATGATTGAAATCAATACTCAACAGGACGTCAATCATGCACGATTCCCCTATTGTTGTATGCAATATATACTACGGTAAATACCCACGGAATGTATTGTCTGCTCCAACCCTACTCTGGACGATGGGAATACTCCATAGGGACACATGTTTCATGCCAACGTTCTGCCAGGTGTCACTGCGAAAACCATTTGCTATTCATAACATGATAAGATGCGCTTCAATTTGCCCTCTAGAAATGAACCTAACGGAATGAGCTCAGTGTGATTAAATGTCGCACAATTAATTGAACTAGCTATAATTAACGTCTCACCGCTCTGAAACTATATGTCACTGCAAATTGAGAACATAGATAGTGTATCTGCGGTTGACATTAAAGGACATTAAAGGAAGTGATATGGGTGATCGAACAACAATCGCAATTGAAACGGAACCTCGACGTCAGAGAGCAAACACACAATTACACAATATCGAAGACGACGGAGTCCCTATCGCAATAGTACATAGCATATTATCGTGGAATGTAAACCATCCGATAATGTGGTTCCTTTCGTGTTTACCACACTCACTCGAAGCATTCTCGTTGTCGATAAAACGCTTAATTCGACATCATGTCAAGCGTCGATAAGCGCGCGTGTTTGGATAATGCTGGCCGGGTCACCACAAAGCAGTGTAGCGATGGACCTACCGTTGCGTTGGTCGGTCCTATAAGTGGAGCTTTGTGAGAAAAAAAGAAACCACATGAAATTCCATCCACCTAATCGTTCGATAGCCTACAGCTTATGCATTACCAATATCGTCCCTTTCCGTCCTTGCCGGATCCATCCTTCCCTCCATGACTGGGGTTTATTGAGATCCAGTGACGTAGCGAGTATTCAGGTTAGAATCTCTACAAACCTGAATCCACCTTTGGCAACGACCCTGTTAATCCATTTTGGGCTCGAGCTTCATCATGCTTCCTCAGGTTCCGATCCAATGAACGCAACTAACCAAAGCCATCGCAGCAAACCAATATAGAACGAAAGAACTAAAATACCCAGTCTCACACCATGCTGTATAAATTTTATTTTATTATCATGCCACCGGCAGTAGTGGCTTTTTATAGTGATACACCACCCACCACCCATCGGACCTCACTGATCCGTGCTATATAGGTGGCAATGGCAATTTAGCTAAATGTGGTTCAAAAGCAAACACCCGTAGAATATTGTACGATACTCTCTACTCACGCTACGTTTTGGCTTTGAACTACAGGAGCGCAACCATTCGTCGGAAACTTTAAATGCGATCGAAAAATGGAACGCCTTTGTGATCCTGAAAGCAACCACGTCGAAGCCTACGAGCTCTACAAGCATGAATGAAAATCCTCTCAATTTTTCATCCACCTCCTTCTAGCTCATTTTTCTTCATTCCCGTCAATTACATAATTTTTCTCCCATTTACCCTCTCCATCATCCTATTCAAGCTTCATCCTAGCCAATTTCCGCCTCTCTCCTAGTCGAACGCTGCACCTGAGCAGCATAACCGATGGAAGCAGTGAATGAGTCATACCTTGCTTTCACTGACTTTTCCGAGGGGCACTACAGAAGAAGGTACCAGAACAAGATTTGTAGGGGGAACGCTCCGAGATGCATAGAAATTGCGTGTTCTCCACTAAATTGTACTCTCGTGCGCTAGATAATATTTCTTTTTTCGGGTCATTCCCAGCCAAGTGAGCCAGCCGAGCAGCGTCCCAAGGGGGAATGAAATATTCATTCGAGCCTACGTTCGCTGACCGTTGCAATGCACTTGGACAAATGGCCGTCCGTAACGGATGAGTGGAGCATGTGTTTCTCTGTGAGCAACAGACCTGGCGGCAGGCGGAGACATTAATCTTTCCTTTTAGGCTTCGGACATTAGCTCCGGTGTTTGCCTGTAAAATCATGTGAGACCTTAGGGGTGACTGCGTTGATGTTCGTATGGTTAGCTTGAGAGTAATTTATTTCATCCAAAATTGTCACACGGTCCGATTCTTCAACGACACCATAGTTGACTATCCACAAAACGCTGATTAGACCGGTAGCCACGAGACGTGGACTATGCTTGTTACGTACCTTTTACGATAGAGTGCAGATGCAGCAAGACGAAACGTAGGGTTCTCACCGCAAAAATCGGACGATTATGGTGAACAGCAAACAATTTGAGTGTATTAAAAGCTGAATAATCTATTTTTTAGCTGAAGAAGCATTATTTTTATCTAAGCATGCTCTTATTGAGCTTTCAATGCACATTGGGCCAGAAATGCAATCTAGCGGAGCAAAATTGATAACTCCGAAACGAAGCATTTCCGCGCGAAGCAGCGCAAATGCGTTATTGTTTCTCCAAAGATTCCGGCAGAGCTTGACGTGATTTATTGAAATCATCAAACGTATACAAGGGGACACTTGAAATCTTTGAAATCATCAAACGTATACAAGTGGACACTTTGCACTGCCTCGAACCTTTGTCAATTGAAGACCACATGCTCCGGCGTTTCATCCACGTTGCCACACTCCGAACAGAAGGGTGACACTGCGTGTTCGAACCTATACAGATACTTCCTGAAGCAGCCGTGGCCAGACAGGAACTGCGTTAGGTGGAAGTTGACGTCTCCGTGTTTTCTGTTCACCCAGGTCGAAAAAAAAAACTGTATTAGTCTACGTGTCCATCTACCGTTCTCCGCCATGTTTTACTCCTGTTGCCACTTAGCCAACGACTCCGCTCTCACAACTTTCCGTACTCTTCCGGCTTCTCTCCGCTTGTAGCACTCGCTGTCCTCCGCCAGGGTGATGCCGCTTTGAGGTTATGGCATGCCCCCGACGGTGATATCTGTCCACTGTACCGCTCAACAGTTACTGACCAATAGCACTTCCGTTTTATGATGGACTATCTGCAGCTTCGCTCCTTGCAATCATGTAGATCGCCTCGGTCGCCAGCACTTCCACCTCTTCCAGCGTCTCGCCTGTTACCGTCAAGATGACGTCGTCCACAAAGCCAACGATCTCAACTTCTTTGAGCAGCTTCAGCGTTAGCACGCCGTTGTACATCCCGGTCCAGAGCATTGGACCAAGGATGGAGCCTTGTGGAACTCCCGCTGTGATTCTAATCGATCTATGTCCTATGTCTGTCTGTCATCTAAACTGAAGCAAATTTCAATAATGGTGCGCTGATGCACTTCCCGTATTCGCATTTCCAAAATGTTTACATTATTATTTCACCAAATTTTAAAAATAATTAACGTTAATAGAAAAAGTAACCTTCAAAAAATCCTTGTATGCAACAAACCTAAGAGGAAGAGAAGACAATACGGGGGCGAAAACGAACCACTTTTCTGTCAAACGCGAACCAGCTCGTGATTGGCCGATTTGAAATGCGTAAGATAGAGATAGAGATAGAAATAGAGATAAAAGAGTAAGATGCCAGTTGTCTCCTCTTCCTCTTAGCAACAAACTAGCAACCAAAGTCTTCACCGGGGTGATTCTCCCCGGTGAAGGAAACGAACACTCTACGGTGCTCCCTAGTGATCACTCATACGCTCCGGTGTGTTGGACTGGTGAAGGTGCGAGGTCAGAAACTGTATTTGTTTGCGAAGTGGGAGAAGCTATAGACCTTTTCGATGCTTAATCGTCTTTCTCTATCTATCCCTCATGTATGAATCGACGGTGTATTTTCCACTAATCTGTTTCCCTCTTGCTCGCACTCGTTGGATTTAAATGGTACAGTAGTGTGCGCCGATTAGACGTCGAAAAGCTCTATAGAAAGTGAAAACAAAATAAAGATCGCTCGGGTGAGTTTGCTTTTGTCATAGCACAGACAAACAGACGTAACTCTTCATTGTGTATCTTCGTTCATGCATTTAACGGTTGATTTGAATATTGTCAGTTCCGTGAACTACTCGCCGCAGCGCTGGCATCGGATCACTTTGACGTTTCTATACATTCTATAGAACTTTTATGCAATATTGTTTGCGAGCTAGCGAGCAAGCTTGTGTTCCGAGAGAAGCCCGAGAGATGTCGTTACTGAGGTCATATGTTTTGAGATACTATGTTTTCAAGAAAAACTTTTTCAAAGAGTTACGTCTGTTTGTCTGTGGTCATAGTGCGAGGTGTCTGTTCAACTCACCACCTTGCTTACACTGGGGATAATGGTATCTCTGCGCTTCAAATTTATATACACCCCGTAGGTTTGCGGGGTTTATATACACCGGTAGAAATACATGGCAAAAAAAATACTTTTTGCACAGAAGTCGAATCAAATTGCGGTCTTCAAATCAAAGATGAACTGGCAAAATTACTTGAGCCACTCCGAGTAATCAAAATGAAAATGAAATCCCGTCCTGGCGATTCGCGCAAAAGGATTTCTAATTATTTTTATTTGTTCACTTCAGGTCTAGTGAACTAAACAACCTTAAGGCCTTGGATAAAGCTAGCCTTACGCTCTATGTCCGAGTTCATTGGGAACACTTCAGGAAGACTGGAGGAAATTTTCAAAACCTCAACCACGGAGCAAACAATTGCTACATGCCAGCTAAATGCATGAATCGTGGTTATTCTTCTCATGCAAAGGACAAGTGTCCTGTGAAAGAAGATCCCAAGGAATTTAA